TGTATTTTTTTTTTTTTAAACACTTTTTTGACTATTTGGGATTTGTTTGGTTGGAAGGGTTGAATCAGCTGATTTACCAGTTAGGTTGGTTAAGCCACTTTCGGGCCCATGTCTGGTTAATCATATCGGTTCGATTTTGTGAATTGAGATGTGAACTGAGGAAAGAAACTGAGGGAATGAGATTTTTATAGAGAACTTACTACGCTCTGATTTTAGGAAATAAACTTGATAAGTAAAGATTCCATTGTAATTTCCTAGAGTAATGATACCCAAGCGAGAGGTATGGCAGCTACCTGCGATAGGTACGAAGGGTTGGGGTTGAAATGGTGATGGCACTGTGGTGCGCGCCTTTTTGCCATAGACTTGACGTGAAGAAAACTACGAGCGCAAGACAACCAAGCAGATACGCATTAGCGCAATGGCTTTGGTGCTTGCCATTGTTTTTTGCTTTCGAGCTTGCTTTCAAGTTGTAGTTAGCTTTGCTTTCGAGTTTGCCATGCTTTTTGCTTTCAAGTTGTAGTTAGCTTTGCTTTCGAGCTATGGTTTGTTGGGTGCATGTGCGTTAGCGTATGTAGATGCGAAGACAAGTAAAAAAAAGGATGCACACTTCTAGATTAATGAGAATTTAGATTAATGAGAATTGGTGTAGGAATATCTCTAGGGTGGATTTAGGTCACATTTCTATCTTTAGGTAGAAAAAGACGTCGATATAAAAAAATCTTCAAGTTTTTTTTTGAGATCTTTACTAAAAATAGATTAATGAGAATTGGTGTAGGAATATTTAAGGGTGGATTTAGGTCACATTTCTATCTTTAGGGAGAAAAAGACGTCTATATCAAAATATCTTCAATTTTTTTTTTGAGATCTTTACTAAAAAAAAAAGAAAAGCTATATTTTTTAATAAGAAAGATATATATATTTTAATAAGAGAGTGATTGAATGCAGCTACAATGCAATATTTATGGAGAACTTGATATACCCTAATTTTATGAAATAAGAAACAAAAAGTTCTACAGGATATCAATATAGTTCTTGATTTTTATGATTTTTAATTTATTTCAATCTGGTTTTTTTGTTTATCTATTATCTTTAGCTTTAGATGAATTTAATGAAAAAATTCTACAGGATATCAATCTAGTTCTTGATTTTTATGATTCTTAGTTGATATCAAGCTGGTTCTTTTGTCCATCTATTGTCTTTAGCTTTAGATGAAATTATCCTCTCTATTCCTCAACTAAATCAAAATCAATTATTCAGAATTATCATTTTTAAAAGTTTATTATTCTATATTTCTCATTTTTTGAATGAATTTTGCAACATTTAAATAAATCTGATGATCCTGATATTCAATCGATATATAATATATAATATGATATAATATTATAAAATAGTTTAATATTTCAACTCAAGACCATGTTTGCTTTTTTTGGGTATTTTGGAATTTAATTTTATATTTTACCCATTTTTTTTAGAGATGGAAATTTATCAAAATTGCCACAAAAAAAAGTCTTGCATTTATGTCCATTGGAATCGGGTCAGATCAGGATCGGCCAGTGACCGATCCCGAGTTAGTCAACAATCTTTTAAACACTGATCCTGATGAGCTGCAAAGCTGTACTTACATTGAGAAAAATGCCTCGTGGACTTTCTTGGAGAAGAATGCAGGCGAAAAGAGGTTCTTTTCTTAGTTACTAAATTCCATCATTTTGCTTTACTCTTACAAGAAACTAAATATTCTAGTCCATCTTTCTTGGATGCTAAGAAAATATGGGGTAATGGTTCTGTTTGTTTTGAGGGGATTGATGCTCAAGGTAGTTCTGGTGATTCATGGTTTTTATGGGACCCTACAATTCTTCTGTGCTGTAACGTTTTTAAAACTGATAGATGTATTGCTATTACTTTTGAAGGGCCTCTTAGAAATTTTCTTTAGGTGCTAGTTAATGTATATAGGCTTAATAATTTTGCTCTTAAGCCTGTTTTTTTGGATGGAATTTTCAATATCTCTATGTCTTTTGGGTTGCCTGTTTGTATTGGGGGGGATTTCAACTGTTTCCAGATGAAATTTCATCATCGATTCGCTTTACTTCACATATGCACATGTTCAATGAATTTACCTCGGATTTTCTGTTTTTGGGGCACATTTCACTTGGTCAAACAATAATGTCAATTAGTTAATTCTTTCCAAGCTGGACAAAGTCTTGGTTTCTGTCGAATGGGAGAAAGTCTTTCTTCTTGTTAAGATTAAAGCTTTATCAAAGTTCTCTTCAGATCACCTGCCATTGTGTCTTCATTCTGATGAAGTAATTGCTGGTCTGAGGCCGTTTTGGTTTGAAATTGGTTGGCTTGAAGAGCCTGATGTTGTTGATATAATCAAACAAACGTGGGGTAACTGCGTTATTTTGGGAAGTACGGGGTATCGGCTATATAGGAAACTTAATTTGCTCAAGCATAAACTCATTGCCTGGAAGAAATCTACCAGACACCAGATTAAGTAAAGAATTGATAATACTGTTATGGATCTTGAGATGTTGGAAAACCATATTCAAGAGCAATAATAGTTCTCTATAGAATTATTGGCTAATAAGAATATTTTGTTAAATCAATTACATGATTTTCTACAATTAGAGGAAATCTATTGGAGGCAAAGGTCTAGAGTTAAATGGCTCAAGGAGAGTGACCATAGCACAAAATTCTTTCATGGTATAACTAACTCTCGCAAGAGGCTCGCAAGAGGCAAAATGACATTACACACTACGTATGCCTCGAGTTGTTGAGGGAGATTCTCTGGGTAAAGAAAATGCTATCATCAATCATTTTTTTAAGGCTTTCTCTTGTGAGTATAATCTTGGGGTTACCTTGGACAGGGTTCCATTCAAAATGTTATCCCCTGATTTGGCAGATCCTAGAGACGGAGGTTTTTAAAGAAGAGGTGAGAAAAACTGTTTTTGGGCTAGCAAGTGATAAGGCACCCAGACCAGATGATTTCCCTTTGGCTTTCTTTCAATGTTTTTGGGGATTGCTTAAATCAGATCTCTTTTCTATAGTAAAGGAATTTATGTGCAGTGGTAAGATTATCAAAAGCATTAATTCCACATATATTTCTCTTATTCCTAAAAAGGATATCATTGCTGACATATGAGAGATTAGGCCCATTAGCTTTCCGTCGAACCTATATAAAATTGATGCAAAAGGCTTGGCTAGAAGACTCAAAGTGGTCATCCCTTTTTTGGTTTCGGGTGAACAGTCTGCCCTTATTCATGACAGAATGATCTCATATAGTATTTTGATTGCACAAGAATGCTTTTACTCTAGATCTCTTAAAGGGAAAGTTGGGGTTGTTATCAAGTTAGATACAAAAAAAGCCTTTTACAGGGTTGAATGGCAAGTCTTTCAAGATATTATGAAGTGTATGGGTTTCAACACCAAGTGGATTTCTTGGATTTTGGGTTTCTTTCTTTGGCTCACTTTTCTATCCTAATTAATAGTTGTTCCAAAGGTTTTTTCAAAGCTTCTAGGGGTGTTAGACATGGTGGCCATCTTTCCCCTTTCCTTTTTTCCTTGATGACAGAAGGGTTCAGCACGATGTTTAAAAGTATAGTGAGGAAAGAAAGATTGGAGGGGTTCCAAGCTGGGACCAATAGGTATTTTATTTCACATTTACAATATGCTGACGATATTTTGATCTTTTGTGATGCAGATCCAGTCATGATTAAAAATCTCAGTGTTTTCGTCTTGTTCTGCCAACTAGCCCTGGGTCTCAAAGTGAATTTCCATAAAACCTTTACGGTTGAAGTTTCGTGTGCCAGTGATTTGCTTCATTCTTTGGCTCTTATTCTCGGTTGTAGAATTAACTATTTCGCTCTCAAATATTTAGGGGTTTATATATTTGCGGATTCCTAGGTCTGGTAGGACCTTTTAATACAACGGTACCAAGTTAAGCTGGATCTCTGGAAGTCCATGACTCTTTCCTTAGGAGGTTGTATTACCCTTGTCAAATCCACCTATGCAAATCTACCCATTTATCTCATGTCCATTCTATAAATGCCGAGCGATGTTATTAGAATCATTGAAAGGTTTATGCGCAACTTCATATGGGGTTTTTTTTAATGATGACCTATAGAAAATTCCATTTGGTAGCATGGGATAAAATTTGCACTCCAATGACAATGGGTGGCTTGGGAATTCGAAAGCTTAAATATATGAATTGAGCTCTTCTCTCTAAGTGGTGGTGGAAAATCATTCAAGACCCCAGTCAGCTATGGAAAGATGTCTTACCTGCAAAGTATGATTTTGAACCTTTTACTCATTTGATTAAAAAAGGGAGGAGGTAAATTTTCTTTACCAATCTGGAAGGGAATTTATAATTGCAAAAATGTGGTGCTCGGTAACTCTCGTTGGCTTATTCGTAATGGTAGCAAGATTTTATTCTGGTTTACTAAGTGGTATGGGGATCAGTCGCTATACGTTCTCTTTCCATATTTCTTTGCAAGAGTTAGCTCTTCGGCGGCAAAAATTTCAGACTTATGCTTTTGCTCACTTTTGGGTGCCTCCGTAGCTACAACAGAATGTCGGACCAAGTCATTTCACAATTTCAAAATTTATTATCTATAGTTCAGGATGCTTATATCTCACCTATAGATGAAGACAAAATTATATGGGAAAATGAAAGTGATCGGGTCTTTTATGTTACCTATCGACTACTATGATCATATAAGCGGTCCAATGACTATCTTTTTGCAATATGGAAATAGCATAAATATCTTGCTATAGACAAACTTTGAAAGTGGGGAAAAATCATTCCTAATATGTGTTTAGAGTGTGCAACATGAAGAAAATCGTTGCCACATTTTTTGTATTGCTCCTTTGCAGATGATATTTGGAAGTGGACTTTCAGTCTTTTGGGTATCATTTTTATCATGCCATTAGATCTTATTTCAGTTATTAATCATCTCAACTTCCCATCTTTGTCCAAAATCTTTAGAAGTGCTATTTTATGACAGATCTGGTCCAACAAACCCACTTTTGAAAGGAGATATTTGGATCGTGTAAGCATTAAAGATAAAATTTTGCAGACTTCATGGGATTGGTTCTCTATTACTGTTTATGGGAGAGGAATTTCAAGGGCAAATATCTTTGTTAATTTAAAGCTCTGCCTTTGTCTTATGTTCCAAAATACTGCCGATCTTTCACTGTGACCCCTCCTCTTGAAGATGCTTATAAATTAAATTTTGATGAAAGTTCTTTTGGGAAATCTTTGGTAAGCTGGAGTATGTGGTCTTCTTAGAGATCATGAGGGTATCACTATCTTCTCTTATGCTAGGCCATGTGGTTCTACCACGGTTAACCAGGCCGAGATGGTTTCTCTTCTTCAGGGCCTACAAATAATTGGTAGCAGAGATTTTCAAGGCATTATTCTAATTGAAGGACTCTCTCTCAATGTTATCAAATGGTGTAATCAAGAGCAAATAATCCCTTGGTCCCTTCATGTCTTCTACCCTTGGTCCGTTCACGTCTTCCATAGGGTTTCATTTTTTCATGCTTGTCGAGAGACAAATGATGCTGCTGACTGCTTAGCTAAGCTCCGCGTTTTTCTTTCCTCATTTTCTATTTTTGTTCCCCTAATTTCAACATTGTAATTTCATGTTCTTGCGTGTTTTTCTTTTCTTCTTTTTTTATTTTTGTTCCCTTAATTCCAATATTGTAATTTCATGCTCTTACTGCAATTTATCAATAAAAGCTTCTGAACATTGTAAAAATAAAAAAAAGACTAATCAGAATATCGGGATGACGGCCAAATATTTTGCATTATTTGAGTACTCGGTCAGAG